GTGGTAAATATTCACATTTTTATATATCAGTTTTAAAGTATCGTGTCTCATGTAGGTTTTGTAGCCCTGTGTTGGACCACTGGCAATTTTTCTTAGGATTTGCTTATTGTGTTGCATAGGATAAGATAATTAAAAGTAACACAAAATGCCCAGAGTATTTCTGCCTTTGGAATCAGCTTGCTAATGCCCAAAGTGTGTGCAAACACTGGGGAGCAGTACAGTTATCATGTATCATTTAGCTGTGCATGGCAACAAATGCACCCAGCAACATCTGCAATCCACAGGTGTAGAAAGAAAACCACAAGCCAAAACAGAACCTGTCATTATATCCAGTAACAACAAACCCTTCCAGTGCGGGAAGGGCCTTTGTAGTTAATATGTCTGATTTTGTACTGACTGAGATGTGAATTATCTGAGCAGCAATTTTATTGGATGTGTGAAACACACAAGTTGCAGTATTAGACCTAAACAGTTGTGACCCAAACTGGAGCAGGGCAAGGAAGAGGCTTTCAGTGCTGGTTCTGTGAGTGGCCAGATCCAAACACTGCACTCCGGGCTTACGTTGCTCCAAGTCAGGAGTGACTCCACTGGCATGAATTAAAAACTCCCAAAAAGCAGCAACAGATCCTTACTTTTATTGCCTTAATTTGCACCACTATTTTTTCCTTAATTTATTTGCCTTTAACCTATGCTTTCCCCCCCCCGCAACCTCATCAAAACTGTAGCATCTTTATGCAGCCTTCGGATGACATCAGCTGCAAAAATCAACAGATTTCCAGATGAAAATACCAGTTCTGTTTCCAGATACATTAAATATGTTTGATGTTAGGAATGAGCTTTAAAGGGGACAAAAATAAACACGGTGTGTAGTCATGGTAGAAAATTGCACTCAAATCATGGGAAAACACAAATATCTGCCCTTGCAGGCGGATACTCGTGATAGTTCTCAACAATACATCTCTCAATGCATCAGTTTAGATGTGAGATAAAGTCTAATTAGTAGTGCTTAGAAGTTGTGGAAGATCATTGGAAACTTCAGCTGAGTGTGGCCTTAATGCTCCTCACAGAACTTTGGCTCTGGGTTTTTCTAAAGGCATGAAGGGTTAGTGAAAACAAAAAGAACCACAGCACTAAATGCAAGGCTTTATACAGTAGCTCTGTTACGTTTTCATCATTTATTTCAGGGTGAATATTTAAAAACATGCATCAGATGGTGGAAAAACTTCCTGTGTCTCAGTGCTGTTTTACAACATTTATGTAATCATGCAATTTAACTTTCAAGGTATTAGAATGGAAACCAGTCTGTTATTCCCTAAATAGAAAACAGATGTTGAGATCCTCACTGTACCTCTAACTGGTAATCTTTATTATTTATTGATTTTGTCTATGTAATATGTGGTTTTGATAGGCCTGTAAAGAAAAAATCTAGACAGATTTGCTGTATATAACAATATTCTTTACGCAGCACATTTTTGCTAAGGGAATATGCATGATTAAGGATGAGGACCTACTAGAGTAGACATTTTTTAAGATGAACATTTCTATTATTTATTAGAATGAGAATTCTATTTCACTTTAAATATTCAGTCATATGGATTTGTCTCAAAAGCTGACTTGTCTGAAATACTTCTTATTTGATAAAAGAAACACTCTAGATTCTGAACATCTGTAAAAGCAAATACTCTGCATGCCACGGACTGATTGTGCATCCTGCAAGCATCCATATAGATTTGTTACAGTTAAATTGAATAACTGGAGAAAACACCTGGGGTTTTCATCCTGTCATGATTGATTTTACTCTTGATACAACCTGGTGTAACATCACTCAAATGTTTTAAAAATTCAGGGATTGCACAAAGGTCCTGTTGTGCATTGCTGCCTCAGTTACTCTGTTTTCTTCAGTGAAACAGCATTATAAAATAAAGGAGAATGGGAAAAACCTTGGGCACTGTCAAATGCCTGATGTTTCCAGGGTGAGAACACAGATGGATTGCCTCCTACATGCAGGAGGGATGACCTTCAGCATCATTCCCAGTTCATTCTTTTTTTTAAAGAATTCCCTCTCTGTCTTCTTGCCCTGGGAAAGCAAGGCCCTGATAGATTGAGAATGAGTGGGCAGTCAAGGACAGAGTAGTGACATTGGTCACATTGTCCCCTGGGGAATTTTACATCCCATCTGTGGTCACCATGAGGTACTGGGACAATAAATCCTCCACGTGCATGGCCTCAACCTTGGGTGGATTATTAGTTGTTTGTAAAAGGATGGTATGAAGGCATGGGAGGTTTTATTCCAGAACTATTCTATTGAAATGTGTTCTTACATTTAACAGGAGCCTTTAAAAAGCACTTTTAACAGGCAGCCAGCTTGGTGACGGAGGAGGAGGCTGAGCACAGCATGCAGACAGCAGCTGGGTGTGTGTCAGGGGATGCACCTGAGTACAGCTGAGTAACCAAGTCATACCACATGAGTTACCTACAAAGTGTAACCTCTTCTGTTCACAGCTTACCTGCAGTCAGTGTTTGATGTCCAGAAGTACTCTATCAGTATTAATACTCTGAAAAAACAGGTTTGTTACAACAAATCTGTTTGCTAGTCCAAGTCAGATGTTTCATTGTGGCTGCTAACACAGCCATGGTTTCTGTTCCCCTGGTAGGTAACTGCACAAGCAATTTCTTTAACTGCTTGATTTTGTGAGTTTCATCTTCATTTGCATAAACATGATTGCTTTATGTGGCCATCAGTGCCATTAAAAAACAATCTGTGGTTCTGAGCAGATATTGACCATTTGGGGGTGTAAACACAGAGCCTGATCAGAAATTACCTAATTATTTGAGCTAACATTCCTGAGAATACTGTGACATTTTCCCAGTTCTACTTGTGCAGAAAGAATGAGTTCGGATGATTTGCAGACCATCTTGTACAGAATATCCTTTTCCACTGCTTAAAAATGTGAAACTTCCTCAGGAAGAAATTAAATAGATATTTCAATGTTTATAGATGTAATACTCTTTGTCATTCACATTGAATGAAAATTGCTGGAAACATGTTTCTCAAGAGTTTTTTTTAAATAAAAAATAGATATTATTCTGATAGTGGCATGGTACTTGAAGTGCAACAATAAACTCTGATAAGAAAATGTAGTGCTGTGTGGAAGTGACTTTGATGTTCACAGAAGTTGTCCTTTTCCAGGTTGGTTAGCAGCCATTGCAGCTTGACGCTGAGCTACAACACAGTCCAGCAGCAAAGGAGCAGCATGAAATGTTTTCAGAAATGAAAAATACTGCTTACTCTTGCTGTGAGTGAATATTGCTGCTTTATGCAGCTGCTTGTTTTACTGCTTTTGCTTCCTGCTTACTTTTTATTTCTTGTGCCAGCATTTGCTAATGCGCTGGAGAAACATCTCCAGAGTTTGCTATTTTTAAGATAACAAGGAAAATTTATTCAAATCATTTGCCTTGAGGATTTAATAGTTGTGCCAATGCATCAGCCTACACAGACATGAGAAAATATTTCTTTGGAGAAACCTCTAAAGATGGTATGAATGTCCAAAGGAAAATTCACTGTTATCAATAAATTCAGAACAGAATACAAAATCGTACTTATCTAGCTGGGTAAAAGCTGCTTAGGAGCGTGGGAGATAGGAAACCTACATTAACAAAATATTGCATTCATTACAGAGAAATGATGCAATTTAAAATTAAGAAGTCTAAGCTTCTTGTATAATACCCATCTCGATAAGCTCTTAAAAAACAGTAAAGTAGTACCTGGTAATAAGAAAAGGGTAGAGATCCTTGCTACAAATAATAATAGCTTCTTGGTCTCTGTCTTTGATTTATCTACTTTCATATAATGTTTCTTTTCAGTTCCTCCAGTCCACCAATTCCTAGAGCTCAAAGGCAAAAGACACTTTTGATTTTGGGGGGTTTTGGTTGGTTTTTGCTTTTTTGGTTATTCGTTTGTTTTTTTGTTTGTTTTGGTTTTGTTTTTTTGGGTTATTTTTGGTCTCTCCGGGTGACACGGATGGAGAAAGCACAAGAGTCAGCAATGGGCAAACCCCAGGAGCAGGGAATTGATCAACACCTGAAACCGAAGGCAGGGAAACCTGAGTGGAGGAGGAATTCGTGATCATCTGAAAAAGATACTTGGAGCTTGAGTCTTCCCTGGACTGAGGATGACTAGTAATAATACATTAAGCTGCTGTGGCATGAAAGTTACAGTAATTAGGAGAGATTTAGACTTGACATTAGGAAGCATTTCTTTATGAGAAGGTGTTCAGACACTGGAGCAGGCTCCCTGCAGAGGTAATTGATACTCCATGCCTGTCAGTGTTTAGAAATAATTTGGAAAATGCATTTAACAACAGGCTTTAACTTCTGATCGGCCCTGGGCATTTGGACTGATGATCCTTGTAGGTGCCTCCCAACAGGAATATTCTGTTCTCTGCTGTTACAACTCCAAACTGAAGTGTGGACATTTGGCCAGCATGCAGTTGCTTACATGGACTGGAAAAGGAAAATAATCTGTGTTCACCTAGAGGGATGACTTCATTTGTCTAGTACATCTTTCACCACCTCTGATTTTTATTTTAGTCCATGGTTTTCAAGTAACAAGCAGTTTTATTGTAGCATTTAAGGCCAACTTATGACTGGACCAAGCATACACACACAGTGTCTCTACACAGACAAAGCAGCATCGCTGTCTCAATCAAGCTAAAGCTCTCCGCTTTATTCTGGAGAGTGCCTTAACCCGTTTTCCCCCGGGGTTACTGCTCGGTATCCTCGGGAAGAAGGAGCCACCGCTCCTATTTCTCCCATTTCCCGTCCGCGCCTTTCCCTTGCGGCCGAGCTCAGTGCGCGTGCGCCCCGAGGCCCCGCCCCCCGCGCGGGGCCGGCCGCGCTCGGAGCCCGCTGCCGGCGCGTGAGGCGGGTCGCGTGAGGCGGGTCGCGTGAGGCGGGTCGCGCGCGGCCGGGGCTCCGCGCGGGCGGGCGCGGGGCGCGGAGCGGAGCGGGGAGGGTGAAGGGCCGGCGGCGGCGGCGGGGCCGGCGGTGCTCGCGGATCGGGCGCCTTCTCCTCCGCAGCGGCAGAGGAGCTGAGCGTGACGGGTAGCAGGTAGGCTCCATGAAGGCGTGGGCTCCGTTACAGGGAGGACGGGTGGGAGCCGGCCGCGCGGGGCCGGGGCTCACATGAGGGAGAGAGGGAGGGAAAATGGCGGCCGCCACGTGGCGGCGAGGGGGGTGGTGAGGGATGCGGAGATCCATGACTCCATGGGAGCTGCCATCTGTGGCTCACTCCCTTCCTAGACATGGAAGAGCAGGGCCTTGCTAATTGGCAAAACTTTTACCCTCCTGTGGGTATGAGTCGTTGACTGTGGCAAGTAACAAAGCGATTCTGCCGTGGGGTTAGCCGTCTCCCCCTTTTTTGGGTGTTTTTTTGTCGATTGGTTTTTCAGGTTTCTCCCCTTTTTCCCCCTCCAGTACACTATTACAGCCCAATTTTTAAACATTTTTATTTTTTAATTCCGCAGGAATACAGAAGCCGAAAGCATGGAGACTGTAGTTGTTAAAGATCCTCTTCCCAAAAAGTATGTGTCTGGCTGTGCCTAATAAGCTCTTCAGAGGTGAGATTTGGGGCAGGAATAATACCGATTTGATAATTTACGTTTAGTGATTACTCTGCTGTGACTTGTCCTTTGAAATCAAGGTATCATGGTGTTTTGTTTTAAGGCATGCTTCTCTTTTGTGTGTTTTCGGGACAGAAAAGTGTCATCAAGTGCATTAATGGGACTAGGAGGAATTTGGTTTGGATGTAGAGACATCAGAAAACATAATCCACTATTCCTAGCATAAAAAATAACACTGCCAGTACTTTGCTTGCCAAATTAGAAGCATCTAAGTGCACAGATTTCTCAGGGATATCCTGGGCAAGAGGAGTGCTTTTTTTCGTAAGTATATGAGTACTAAGAGAAATCTGCAGCTGTAGGAATAAGGGAGATTGGAAATTAATATCAACAGCTTTGTTTCAGAGCAGCTTTACAGCTTCTGGGAAAGAATCCTACTGTTGATGATGATTGCTGTTTATTTGTATCCCATAGAAATATTGAACTGCCTCAGACTTGTTTTTACAGGGGAAAAACCCTCTTGAAAGAAGACGGGGCTAAATTCCACATGTGAATTCTAGGAGTAGCTGTGTCTAAACATGTTAACTTTTGGTTAGGGTAAGGTGGATGTGTTTCATCATCTGCAGTTAATACCTTTTGGGAGCAGTAAGATGTGAAGCAGATCTAGTAAAAGGTAATTTTCGGCTAGGTCTTTACCTCGATTTTTAAACAGAGTTAAAATTTGGAGCTTCAATGAGAGCTTCCGCAGTCCATCTGATCTTCATTAAGAGGGGCTGGAACCCAGCATACTGTGCCTAAAATTAGCCTTGACTGCTTCTATACAGCAAAATAGAGTTAGGATCTCATCATGTGCTGCTCCTCTCTTTGGGTTGTCACTAAGCTTTAAGCTGTTACAGTACTGATTTTGGTAGTTGAGCGGCTGTGTTGCACCTTGAGGGATAGCTCCTCTGCTCTCAAAGTGCTGCAAAGGTTGTTGCAATGAGTGTACCTGTGCTGCAGAAGCTGCAGGTGAGTTTTTGAAGTCTGGAAAATGGAAGTGGACAGCTGTAATTTTGGTGTCTGTGTGAATGTAAAAGAATGTAAAACATTTGAATGTATGAACAAGTCAATAAAGATACATGACTGGCTGCAAGTGTGGTTCCTTTCTTGAAAAACTGCTGGTAACTAAGACTAGACCAACCCGTTTGTTAGGATTGCTTACAAATCTGCCTGTTCTGGGGACACACCTTTTGGGCAGAATCTGGTTTTGGGTGGCTGATGCACGTCTGGGAACCACTCCAGAAGTGGTACGGCTTGAATCAGAGGTAAGTGCTGCAGGGCAGAAATGACAACTTCAAATAGAGTTGATTTTTGCAGTTGCTGAGGGTTCCATACTTAAGAAAACAGATGGAGATCTGGTAGGTGGTGAATCATTGCATACTTACACAAAATACTTAAAAGTAAATGTACTGTTTTAGTGAACACCAGTTGTGCTGGCACAATCTGTTACACAATATCTTTCAAATAATAATACATTTTTGCAAATAGTTAGAAACTATAGGAAAGGGAGAGTTTGAAAGGATTGGGAAACAAAATCTGTGAAGCCAGAGCTGAGATGATCAGCATGTGGTGTAATTGCTGCTGAGTGTTTGGCAGCTGAGGTCTGGATTCCTGCTTGAAGTGAATGGAGCAGAACTGTGGACTCTCATTACAGCATGGACTAGATCTGAGGAAGTTATTTCTGTGGTTGTGTTTGGTGGGAAGATTAGAGAGCTGTCATAGGAAACTTTCCATTTTTTTTTTTAAGCATATACTTTTTCTGCTCAAGAGGAAGTACAGTTGAATGTGTTTTGTGTGGTGCTGTAACAAGTGATAGCACACCTGTTTTAACTGGTGGTGTGCAATTACTCTCTTCTTTTAAGAACCCTATCGTTGCTTACTGCTCTGCATTCCAAGGTAGTGGCTGCCAAGCCTGCTAGCCAACAATCAGTGTTTACTGTGAGTTCCCTTTTCTCCAGAACCATTGGACCTCTGTAGGAACCACGTGTGTTCTGTAAGGGCAGTTACTTGCTTATCTTAAATAGGCAAATGCCAGGCAGGCTGGCCCTTTTATTTTGGGAACTTTCTTGGAGTTGAGATAAGATACACATTGAGGAGGCTTTGTGTGTCAGTTGCTGTGATGTCTCTGTATTGTTTATTCTCTGGCAAATAAAAACTTGGGATGTTTAAGAGGACTGTATCTAACTGTAAATTGTTACAGTGCTGGGGAACCTGGAGAGATGATGTTTCTTGAGGATGGTCATCTTACCTGGTAACAAGTGCCACGTGTTCTCATGGTTTGTGCCACACTTAACACAGTTATTAAACAGCTTTAAAAGTGTAGGATGAACTTCCAACAAAGTAACAGGTTTCAGTTAAAGCACTGGGAATAAGACAAACCTTCCTCTCTGAGAAAGTAGCCCTAAGTTTATATGCTTTAATGATTTCAAGAACCCCCTTCCTCAGGTACAGCCCATGTGAGGTTTGCCCAGCTGATGTTCTGCAGCAGCTGCTTGAACATCTGTGGTATTAATTAACATACAGAAATTGTAGTCATTGTGGCAGTTTTTATTGTAGACATGTAGACCATCAGGCTCACTGAACAAAAATAACAATGACATAAGATGGAGGCATTTTCATTTTATGTTAGAAACTGAAAAGGCATGCTCAGCATGGAAACAGTAGTGCAACATTTTAAAATCTAATAAAGCATTCTATTAAAAGGGCAAAAATAATAAAGTACTGTACTAAATCTAAACACTTACTACACTTAGTATGCAGGCTTAGTTCTCCCTCTCCCTCAAAGTATTTTGTTTCTGTGATGCAACTATTAAAGGATGATTATTTCCCCTGTATATAACACTTATATTGCACTATGTAGCCTACTTCACCACAAGTCTCAATAGGTCTTGTACAGCAAAACTCAGATGTTACGTGCAGATACTTTTTGACAGACTGACTTCCCTTGTAATTAAGGACCATAGAGAAGTAAAAATGTAATGGCTTTGAAGTTGACTAGCACAGTGTTTTGCATTGATCTAACTAGGTGGTCACAATGCAATGATTTATGATGTTTTAAAATATTTTACACTATTTCAAATAGTGTGGAATTACAGAGAACTGAAATATATTAAAGCACCTCATGTACTAGTTTAGCACCAGTTAATAATTAGTCCTGATCATTGAAAACTTAAATTTGAGGTTGGAGTTGTTAACGGCTAAATATTCAATCACATGGGCTTCGGCAATGTCATTGCCACTTCATATGCAAGTGAGTAGTATTGGATATTTGTAACACCAGAGAGACACACAACAATACAAAAATGAACGATTGCCCATTTACAGCATGAATGCAAGCACCCCACTTTTTCACAAAACACCACACAACACAATCCTAGCCAGTTTGGGGGATAGGAAACTGGGAAACAGTCACTGGTGGTCACAGTTTGCACAATCACTATGTGGTGTCACTCATCTGCCACACTTGTCACACTTGTTCCATGGCCCACAGCTTTCAGTTGTGTTTTTATGAGCATAGTTGTTACTGTGATACATACACCCATGGGGATTGTAGAGCTGAGCTGTCGTGGCTCCTTCCCCAGTGAGTCAGTTCACAGGTGGTTTTCAGACTGATGCCTTTCAGTGTTACACTAAGGTAGTGACTATATGCTGTGTTCTACATCAGTGTGGTGGCCCTTCCTCACAGGATAGCAAGTTGGTTATCAGTGCATTTTTATAAAAAGTTAGGGATTTCATAGCATGGGGAACAGTATTTGGAAACAATTGGATGAAATCAAGATGGGTCAGTGCTTTAGAAGTAACTGAAAACAGCTTTCCTGTGAGATCAGTCTGAACCAGTGTTGCAACTAACAGGAGAGAGTTATCTAAATATTACTTTATAGAAAACACAGTTTAAGACTTTATAGACCATTCCAGACAAGCTTTGGCTCAACAACTCCATTGTATGTATAACTTTGGTAGGATTGACGGAGGTTCTTTGCACTGCTTGAGCTAAGCCCAGCAATGCAAGGATAGGGGTATTTGTTGTCTGACACTGTACTGACAGCTAGTGGTAAATAGAAAAAGTAAATAATCTCCAAAATGCTGTATATACTCAAAATTGTGAATTTCAGAAATAGGACTAATGCTACTTCAGTGAAGTAAATAAGTGGTTGCTCTTGCAGCTGTGCAGGATGTTTGTGGGGAAACTGTCACTTTACTGGCTGTTTTACTTGGGAATGTACTTCAGGCTCACTAACCTGTGAGGACATTTAGCCAGTTAGCTGGGGATGTGATTATTGACCATTGTTTTTCTTCCTGCATTTAATACACACTCAGAGTTACTTATGAAGAATTAGGCTACTAATGGTCTCAGAAGCTACTGAAACATGAGTCAGATTTAGGGGGCTGAGTGTAAAATCATGGGAATAATAGATTAAATAAACTAGACTAAAGATTAATTGAGATCTGTAATTGTAGAGAAGCTTGGAGCATAAATAGCATGGAGCTACAGTCTTGTGGACAAAGTCTCCAGCTGTCTGGCTCCAGTATTACTCTAGCTGGCTATCACTTTTCCCCTTAGATACATGGTAATTTTTTCATGCAGTATTTGAACTTCTGGAACAGGGAGGATTAATCCCTAACTGAAAGGCTTGAGTGTACACAGCTTGGATTTAATGAAAACAAAAACACATGAATCGTGTAAATACCTGTTTCCACCCACTGTGGGCCCCAGCTATGCACTGCATGTGCTGTTCAAGTTGTCCTGCCTCAAAGTTTGGTTTTCATTATGGGCGTTCATAGTTTGGTCAAACTTTTAATCCAGGGTATGAAAGATGATACTTTTGTGTAGACACCTGGGGAATCTTTGACCCCACAGCCATAGCCCCAGGAGGTCACACCGTACACAGCCCAGCTTTCCCCTGGGCGTTCGCACATCAGTGGTCCACCGCTGTCTCCTTGACAGCTGTCAACTCGTTTCT